GGAAGGCTGTGCTCACGCTGACGGGGCGGGGCTACATGTCTTCTCTTTTCCTTTCTTGAGTTTAAAATCGATTTACTAATTTCTTCAACAAACACATCGTCTGTCCCTATCGCAGGTCTTGGCTCAAATATCAGCTCCTCTCAGAAGCCTTGCCTAGCCACTCTGTCATGTTCTCCTCCTATCTTACACCACATTGAAAACTTTTACATAGTTTCTAGATGGCAACTTTCTAATCATGAAAAATGAAAATCCAGGAGGAAAAAAAAGAGGGTTGTTGTCAGGTGCCGCCCAGTCGGTGGTGACTCACAGAGGTCCCTGTGGAAAAGAACAAACCACTGCCTGGCTCTGCACCGGCCTCACCGTCGCTGACCGTCTGCAGTGGCGCTGTCAGTCTGTTCCATTGAGGGTCTCCCTCAGAGCACATGCCACCCCCACCCCCGGCACACTGGATCACAGAGGCACCTGCACCCGCTTCCGAGCGCAGCAGAGCTGAGGTGCACTCTGAGCAGTGGGTCAGCATGGAGCAGTCAAGTTGTGCTGGCATGGTCGGGGGTGGGGGCGTTAGACTGGGACATCGCACAGTTGTTTGGAGCAAGAACTTGACCACAGATGGACATGCTAAGCATTCTTATTCAAGAGGGAGGAAAGGGTTTGAATCTCCATCAGACATTAGCTCGGGCCAAGTCTGACTCCCAACACTCCACCACTGCTTGCCCTCTCTCTAACACATTTGAAGAGAATGACTCCCCTTTTGGTCCAAGATGCAGTGGGAGTCTTTACAGATGCAGCCGGCTGCATTCTACAGCAAAAAGGGCGACGTTTCTGACCAGGAGACCTTGGGCGTGGACGTTAGTCATGTGAAGAGTTTCTAGAATACCAGCCGGTATGGGAGCCAGGCTGGTCGCCCCTTGTCTCCCTGAATGCAAATGACACGCCTCAGAACTTTCCCGGTGCCCTGCTGGGCCCTTGGAGCGCATTCAATGAATTGAACAAATACCGGTTGAATCCCTACAATTTGCCAGGCCCCATGCCAGCCGCTCCAGCAGGGCCTGGGACAATACAGACGTGTCTTTGTCCTCACGCGTCTAGTCAGCTGGGGGGCGGGGGGCGGGGGGTTCCGAAGTCGTGCCTCACGCTGGATGGCCTGTGGAGCCTGCCCAGAGTCAGAGCCTGCCCAGGGTCGGCGTCCCTCAGGATTCCCTCTGCTTCCTGTTCTCTTGTCAGGTCATGCCTGGGGGGAACGGCGCGTAGAGGCAAACAGAGCCCAGGACCGACCGACCGGGGCGGCCCTTCCAGGGCTTTCCAGGAACATGTGTGGGGAGAAGCCTCCCTGGAAGTCTGGTAGCTCAGAACTAGAAGGTCGTGGGGAGAAAAATAATCTGTGTAAGAGATACAACTTGTGAAGGACAGGTGCAGCTTTTAGAAGACACCCCCCCCCCGCCCCACTCCATAAAACAGTCCTTGTAGTCGCTGAGTGAAGCGCTGAGAATTGGCTGGATCTGGGACTAGGGGCTTGGCCCTACCCCTCTCCCTAGTGTTCCTCCTGCTCGCCCACCTGTTGAGCAGCAGCCACACTGGGCAGGGTTGGTGGGTTGGGGCGTGGGGGTGGTCTCAGGGCAACTTTATGGGGACAGGGCAAGGAGCCTCCACTCTTCCACAAGGCAGAGTTTCCATGGGAAATGGGCGTGAGGGAAGCAGGTCAGTGTGAAAGGAGGTTGAGTGCTCTGGCTGGAGGGGCAGGACAGACCTGCTCTGCAGCTGCTTCCTGTCTCCCCCCTCCCATGTGCGCGCACGCGCACACACACTCATACACAGAACACACACACATACTCAGGTGCACGTACTACACACCCGCAGGCATTCCTACTCAGGTACACTCATGCTCATACACAGAACACACACACACTCACACACACATGCACCCTTGCATACACACTCCACCATGCTCATACTAACACTCGAACATGCATCCACATGTACTCAGATGTGCTCCCCCATAAAAACCCATACATTCATGCACACACACACATACTGATGCACACTTACCTGCACTCATGTATGGGCGGATACAAAAATTATACGTACACACACTGCACACACTCATAATCACACATATACCCACACATATACATTTATACACTCCCGCTCACACAAAATCACACAAACACTCACGTAGACAGGCCACGTGCCCCACAGCTATACACTCCCTCACACTCATAAATCACACACACACAGAACCACAGTTGTGCACACCCATACACATCTTACACTCACATGCGCTTACACTCACACTCACCTACTCACATGCTCTTACACACAATAACACAGGCCCCACACCTGTACTAACCCATCACACACACATGGATTCATATGCACATGTACACTCATGCTCACAAAAACCGCATTCACATGCTCCCTCTCATACACACTCTCACGCATCTCTCATACACATCTCACGCGTGCCCCACAGCTACCTACACCCTACACCCATACAGTCACATCATCTCATACGCACATACTCACATGCTCTTTCACACACACACACACACACACACACACACACACACACTCGGGGGGATGCCTCAATGCTCTCTGGTGGCTGAGCCCTGGCCCTTAGGAAACAGAGAGAGGCACGCAGCACTGTTCTCAATGCGGAAGGCGGGTCCAGCATAAATCAGGGCAGGCCGAATGAATAGTTACGAGCCCATTTCCACCGAAATGGACTTATTAGCAAGCTTGGCAGCTGCCTGAAGGGTTAAGGCCTCCTCCTCTGGCATGAGGAAAATGACTTTATAAACGCTTACATGCGAAGGTGACTGCGATTTGACCGTTTCCTCTATTAGTAGCTGGACATTGTTGAATTCTTGGATGCTGAGTTGGTAGACGGGAGTATCAGAGAGGGAGCCCCTGGGAGGTAGGACCTTTCACACAGACTCCACCCCACTGCCCCTAAATTGGCCATTCTCATTACCCTGGACCCAAGTGTGGGTTTAGCAGTATGAAATGGATCCACGCCTTCTCGGATGGGCCTTCTATGTTGTCGGCAGGAACCTCCCTGAGGCCTCTGGGGGTCCAGCAGGTGTGAGAGGCAGCAACTTCATCCTGGTCAGTGTCTACTGTAGTGTGATGGGATCTGAGGGGCTGGAGCATGCTTGTGGGAGGGGACTTACAGACAGACATGTGGACACCCCTGAGCTTGAGGGGACTTACAGACGGACTGCCCAGGAAGAGATTCACAATAGAAAACATGGGGTGCCCTAACTGGAAGGAAACACATAGATGGACTTACAGATGCCCTGACCAGGATGACACTTACAGACAGATGTGAGAAGACTTACAGGTGGGCACATGGATGCCCTAACTCAGGGGAGCCTGCAGGCCAGGGAATGGGGCTGGGAAATGAGGGGCTGAACCTGAGCGTGCAGACAGTTTCATCCTCAGCCGGCCATCTCACCGACCATCTCGCCGAACTTGGTCTTGGCACTCAAGAAGTCCAGGTAAATGGCAGTCCTCACGTTTCCTGGTGGCACACACAGTCAAGCACTCAATCCCCAACTGAAAGGTTGGTGGTTCCTGTCCACCCAGAAATACTTTAGAAGAAAGGCCTGGTCACCCACTTTTGAAAGGCCACAGACATTGAACCCCGAGGATTCATAGCTGCCACGTACCCACACTGTGCCCAGGCTCAGCCAGGGCCACCTCTGGTTTACCCAGGGAGTCCCTGGACCCTTGCCAAGCTGCGGATCTGGTGATTCTGGGTGGCTGGAACTGGGCAGTGGAAGAATCAAGAGCACGCCCATGGATGAAGTCCAGCCTTGTCATTGTCCAGAGGGCCGAAATCCAAACAGCCCACTGCCATCAAGCTGAACCTGACTCAGAGTGACCCCGTAGGATAGACTAGGTCTGCTCCACAGGCTTTCCAAGACTGCAGTCTTTATGGATGCAGACTGCCTCATCTCTCTTCTGTGGAGCAGCTGGTGGGTTTGAACCACTGACGTTTAGGTTAGCACCAGCATGGCTCCTGCTGCTGTTCCAGGAGTCTGCAGGATAGAGACGGGAGCTGTCCGAGGTAGGAGCCCCAGCTTCAGAATCCTCCCTTAGAGGCTGCTTGCTGGGGATCCGACTGATGGTATCCAGGATCCCTGGAGGGCAGGGAGAGGACCTTCACCTTGGTCCAGGAAGGAGAGTCTTGGTGGCGGTGGTGGCTGTGGGGAGCTTGTGAACTTGTCTTGGGACAGCTGGGCGTGAGGGTCAGCAAACAGGCCCACAGAACCAGGGCCATTCTCAAATTGGTGCTGTCTCTTCACCTCTCTGTTCCAGAATTTTCCCGTCAGCGCAATGGTTGGTGGACACATCCATCCCAATACCGAGAGCGTCCCCTTTGAAGATACCGACAATTGCACTTATCCTTGCCCTTTACATCCCCCACCCTCCCGTGGACTCACAGTGGCAGTTTTGGTTTTATTTCTTTAATTCAAGCTGGTAAAGTCAAAGTCGTGCATAACCTGCCTCTGCCACTCCTGGTAGCTCCTCGTCCAAGGCTTGTGACACTCATACACATCCGAGGTCACCACTCTTCTTCCAAAGCCCTAAGCTCCCTGTGAGCCGCCATCTAGAGAGGCCTCGCTGGGTGCAGGCCGGACAACCTGGGCCCCACAACTGGAGTCGTCTCGGAAGCCGAGGCTGGCTCTGGAGGCAGGGCCATGGCTGGGGGACTGCTCTGGGGGCTGGGAGGGGGAGCTGTGCCTGGGGGCCCCAGAGAGGAGGCTCTGCTGGGCCCATGGAGAGCAGTCTGCTCTCCCAGGGGCCTGGCAGCCCCATTGGGGTGCCAGCCCAGGGGCCATGGGGCCTGGGGCATCCTGGGCACTGCCAGGAGCCGGGCTGAACTCCGCAGTAATTCCTCTGGTCCTTGAGGAAGGGAAGTGGCAACCGATGGCAGGCCTGACCCTCTGCTGCACCTCGGGTTCTAAATGGCACTTTGCCCCGTGCTTGTGTTGCAGGGTCAACGGCTCCTTCCACGAGATCCTGCAGGTGGACGTGGGCGTGGACAACAGCAGCAGCCTGGCCGGGGCCCAGCAGATCACCTGGCAGGTGGAGTACCCAGCGGAGGACGCCGTGAGCGAGCTTCTCGTCTCCGAAATCTTCGTCAGCCAGACCACCTTTGTGGGCATCGTCCCTCTTGCGATGGTAAGGAGCCAGGGCGCCGCGTGCTCCGGATGCGAAGGGATGCAGGGCGTGAGGTTGTGCGTTATTTCCCAGGTGTCGAACGCGGGCCAACCTCGGAGACGCGTCGAGGGGGTTCCAGACCCGCGCCGTCTAGCAGCCGCCTTCGTAAATCACTTCATGCGTTCTTTCGGGTTTCCCAGGACGTGTCGCGGCACGTTGACACGGATGAAGTGTCCGGCGGCCCAATGGGAAGGCCGGAGTTGGAAAGAGAGTGGGCAGTACGGGTCCAGGTGCAGAGCGCGCGCCTGCTGTTGGGAACAATGGCGCCAGGAGGCATGCGCCACGCGGGGTTGCTAACGAAGCCCCCAGTCTGTCACGCGCACTGGAGCTGCACAGAGCACGCAGCCACGGGAGGCGCAATAGAACGAGGCAAGTCCCGCACACGGAGTTCAAACGAGGAGAAGGCTGACATGGCTTTTCGTGTCGTTGGCTCTACCCTGGCTCTGTGGGAGCTGCGTAGGGTCCGCTGTCATGCCCTTTCCAGTTGTGGGCATCGCTGAGCCGTTCCCAGGGAGCCCTTGTTCTCTGTCTCTTAATCAGCGTGCACATCGGGACTGAGGGCTGTGTCGAGTCAAGATAGTGTCCGGAGGTGTATCAGGAATAGTGGCGCCGGCAGCTGGGTAATGCACCCTTTGTCTAAGCCTGGGGGTCCCCAGGTGGCACTTTACAGCACAGCCGCGCCAAGGAAGCCTTGATTGGAGGGGGCAGCTGAGCCTGGGTACAGGCCCTGAGTTGTAGTTTCCCACTCCTTGGCCTGGGTGTGCTCCGGGGGTTGGCTAACACTCCATCATGACCAGGCTCTGGACGAGCCATCGCACTTGTAAGCCATCCTACAAGTACCGATGCTGGTGGGTCCACAGGGTGATAAACCCGTGGGAGTGCCACTTTCCCCCTTCCCTTAGCCACACCCAGGAACTGCCTCGTTTGACCTTCCTGGCTTAGACCAACATGCAGGTTCATACCCAAATACTCTAGACCAAGCTGCAGGTTTTGTTTTTTTTTAATGTTTGTTTTTAATCACTCACAACCCTGGTTGAACACCCTAGTCCAAGTCCTTCCAAATGAGAGCTCAGATGCTCTACGATGAATTCTGCAGCCCAGATCCTTCTACGTGGCCCTTCTCGTTGCCTACACTCGCTACATCTCCCACTTCTGCTTCACCTCAGCTCAGCTGTCAGGCCTCCCCTGACCCCTCTGGTTACACCGGGTCCTCCACCCCTCCTCGCCCATCATCCTGTCCATCCCACTCCCGTTTTAGGCTCCTCGGACATCTTATCCCTGTTGGAGGCTAAGGGCCCGTCATCTCGCTTCCTCCCTAGAGCCCACCATCCACGAGGGACGGAGCCTCATCCGTCTGTTCACCTGAGAACAGTGCCCAGAACAGCTCACACTTGTTTAAAGAATGGGTCAATTCATACAAGTAGCTACTACCTGAAGGGGTGGAAGTTCAAGTCCACCTGGAGGCTCCTTGGGAGAAAGGCCTATCGATCTTCGTGCCATAGTCCAGCCCCTGGAAGCCCTCTGGAGCACAGTTCTGCTCAGACACCTGGAGGGTCACCACAACTCAATGGCAGTTGTGGTTCTTGAAAGTTAGGCCCAGGGCCGTGGCCCCCTGCCCCCCGTCTGCATCTGGCTTTGTGGGGAGCCACGCTCAGTGGGAAAGGACTGTGCAAAGGGGAGGAGATGGATGGGCGTGGCTTCCAGGGCAGAGTACCACTGCCTGGGGTCTTCTCCCCTGGGTTTACTTCCAGGTCATCCCAGGGCTGGCTGGCGGTGGGCCACTCCTACTCAGTCACCGTCCATACAGCACAGGTTTGCTCTCTGCTTAAGGTGCTGCACTTCCTTCGCTGTGGGGTCCTGGTGCCCGTGAGGATGGGATTGAGGAGAAGGTGTGGAGCCCTCCTCTGATCCCCAGGCCAGTGAAGGGGCGTGTGTTGACCTGTCAGGAGTTAAGAACCAGGACGCGGCAGAGCTCAGCTCCCTGGGCTAAGGCCAGCCTGCCCTGGTGCATTTCTGTAAATAAAGTTTACTTGGGACACAGGCGGGTCCTGAATCTGAACCGTCCGTGGCTGCACGAGTGCTGTGGCAGTGGCTGTGACAGAGAGGGCATCCTGGCCCCAAACATCAACTTCAGCTGCCTGAGAAAAGTGAAGTCAATAGTGTCTCACGCAAGCAGAGTCTCGCTGATGACACTTTAAAAAATGGCTGTCGCTGTACATCCACAGGGCACTGGCTGGAATTTAAGCTGGATTCAGGAAAAGACACCACTTGGAGGATATAATTACTAGTGACAGTGGGGACGTGACAGAAAACCGAGGGCAGGGGAAAGATGTTTCCCTGTGCTGTATTGACTATGCAAAGGCACCTGACTATGTGGCTCATAAAATCCTGATGGGTAACCTCGCCAAGAAGCGGAATTCCAGAACCTTCCACTGTGCACATGTGGAGCCTATCTATACTTAGACCAAGAGGCAGTCACTCACACAGAACAAGGGGAGATGGCGTGGTTTAAAATCCGGAAAGGCATGTGTCAGGAAGGGCTGTACCCTTGCACATTCAGACGCATGCTGAGCCAGCAACTCGCGAACCTGGACTGTCAGGAACAAGGCATCATTGGATTGGACGAAGCCTCTGATAGGCACATAACACAGCCTTGCTTGCTGAGCATGAAGAGGGCTTGAGGCAACTCCCGAAACCATGTTCAAGTTGACCAGGCTTCGTTTGACTTGGACCCACAGCCAGGGCTCACGGGAACAGCAGTCAGGAAACCAAACAGCCTATTGCCTGGGACAAACGTGCTGCACCTCTCTGAAGGGCTGGAGAGCAGAGTGGTCGCTTAGTCGCTCGAGAGCAGACTAAGGTGCACCCCACCCAAGCCACGGCCCTTCTGGGTTTACTCACACGCAGGCAAGCGCTAGAGAACTAAAGCGGAAGAGTGGAGGATGATTGACACCCTTTAACCGTGATGTGGGTGAAGACTACTGGACAGACCACGGACTGCTAGAAGAATGAAACGTATGTGACTTCGAAGAGGTGACAGCCAGGACGTTCCTTAGCTGGGAAGATGTCAAGACTTAGTTTCACTCATGCGGCAGTTACATCATCTCCTGTCAGCTTGCGAAGGGGAGGAGTCCAGCCTGTCAATCAGGTCGCAGCTTGATGACCTCATTTTGGAGGCATGAAGGAGATAAATAGCTCACTGGAGGCCAGACCCACCCTCTCTGCTTTGTCTTCCTGCTGACAAGCCACGTGGAGCTGCACTGATAGAGCCAGAGGCCTGGAGCTGGAGGGGCCACGTGGAGACCCGCTGCCAGTGCTGAGATGCTTCCACCACCACTGGATCCACAAGACTTTCCACCCACTGGCCTGTGATCTTCCTGTATTCGGCACCATTGCATGTGTTGTGCAAGTCTGAAGAGGAGTTTATAGACTGGTATCGGACATATGGGCTAATATCGGACTTATGGACTTTATCTGGACTGGGATGGGATGTTTTCTTAATATACAACTACCCTTTGATATAAAGCTCTTTCTTCTACACACATGATTGTCTATGAATTTGTTTCTCTAGTCAACCCTGACTAACACACTCACTTAGATAGTTTCACTGACTTTGCGCATGTTATCAGGGCAGACCAGTCTCTCGTGAAGGACATCGTGCTTGGTGAAGTGGAGGGTCCTCAGAAGGGAGCAGACAGAGATGGATGGACACAGTGGCGGCAGCCATGGGCGCAAACAACAATGACCGTTGAGGACGTCACCAGGCTAGGCAGCACTTCATTCTGTCCTACATGGGGTCGCTATGGGGCTGAACAGATTCAATGACGGCAGTAACAGTAAGCAGCGTTTACACATCAGGGGAGGGGCCTGTGAGTGGGGGGTGTTACTTTCTGGTTGCTGGGCTTCTTTGGGGGAGGTAACATAGGGGGGTTCGTGGATCCCGTTCTTGCCTGCAGTGGTCATCTTTTTTAAGGAGGCCCTCACCACACCCTCTGTCGGACTCATTCCTTCAGTGACTGGGAAGGGAGACTATGGAACTGATGCAATTTTGCAGCTGAAATCGCCAGGCTTTGGTGCTCATCGGGGTCAAACCTCTACATTTGTAGTCAGAGCGGAACGAATGGTGAAGTTTCACTCCAAACACCCCATCTCCAAAAGGGCAGTCTCAGGAGAGTGGGGTGCAGCACCGCGGGGTCATTGCGTTTCCCACCTCCATTTCACAGTCCCCTCTCCGCCTTGCTGCCACCCTCGCTTGGTCAAAAATGCTAACGAACATGTCCGCTTCGTTATTTGCCTCGTTCTTTTTCTTTTTCTACCCCTCCGCCGCCTTGTCCCTCCCTCCATGGCGTCCTTCTCTCCCTTACGCTTCGCTTTGGTGTTCCATCCAATTACTGAGCCTTTTGAGCCGGGAGCTTTATGTCTGTGGGTGGTCTGGTGTGGGCAGCTGCAGCCCACATTCAAGGACCCATCTCAACCCTGAAAAGCCTGGCTCTGCGCATGCAGGACCACCCCCCCACCTACACACACACACACACACACACACACACACACACACACACACACACTCTGTCTTTCAAAAAGGTTGGAACAACAACAACAAAATACCCCAGGAACACACTCCACGAGGTTCCAGGCAACTAGGCACAAGGGCTGCAGGTCGGTCAAGAGGAAGAGAACCATTGACCTGTAGCCACCTGGGGCCCTGACCTCACCAGAAGACCCTGCACAAATGCATACTTTTGGAAACGGTTCTGAGGGCCTTTGCGTGACTGCTCTAAGTCAGACCTCCTGACTCAGATCTCTGGGCCAAGAGACAGCTTAGATGCGCTCGGCTGAGGTTCTGGGGTGGGGATGGGCATGCTAGCTAGCCCATTACCAGAGTGCATCCTCATCTTTTCAGAGGGCGGTGGGTGGGGAGGAGAAGCCCCGCAGAGTGACCCCAGGGAGGGCTGGGCAGCGTGGGCGGGATCAGGAAGGGCCTTTCCCCAGGTGCTGCCCGTCCTCCTGCAGGAGCTGGAACAAGCTGCAGACAGACCCCAGACCCAGGGAAGAGCGTCCCGGCAGGCGGTCACCTGGTTGGCTGGAGGGACAGGGTAGCCAGTAGGGCTGGTGAAGAGTGAGAGGCCCAGAGAAAGACCACGGGGTGGGGGTGGGTGGAGGGGTGGGGAGGGGTGTCGCAGCAGCACAGGGCTCGGTGCCAGGCCAACCTTTGCAGCATCTGTGTGCTCCCACGCTGCTGGTAGAAGGAAAGGTGGCCCTCGGTTTAAGCCCTTGCGGCCACAGGTGAACATGGACTTCCGGCGCCAAGGTCTGCATGTCAGCGGGCTGCTTCCTTTCTGGACTTTGCTGTCTTGGCCAGGGTGCCTTCCTCATTCCTTGGCTGCTGGCCCCATCTTCTCTCTGCAAACTCCATCACCACGACCTCTGTTTCTCAACCTTCCTTCTCTGACTCTGGCTATTCTCATCTCCCCTCCCCTCCCACCACCACACATACCTTTCTGAGGACCCTCATGAGTGCATTGAGCACACCGGGAGAATCCAGGATTAGATCCTTAACTGGAGCTCATCTCTACTGTCACGTGACTCCAGGCCCACTATTAATAAGTTCCAGAGATTAGGATGTGCACACGTTTGGATGGGTAGGGGCCTCCTCTGTGTAAGGTACGCCGAATGAAGCACTTAGTGGCTAACTGAAAGGTCAGGGGTTTGAAC